GCCCTCCTTCTCCCCCCATCCCTCCTGCCGCCATGGCGCCGCCGCCCCGCGGCTCCTGCTCGCTGCCGCTGCGGCCCTGCCGCCCCACTGGGCGCCCAGACGCGCCGCCCGCCGGTTTCCACGCCAGTGCGTATAATGGCATCGCACGTTTCGCCGAACAACATACACGAAGCATTTTGCTCGGGTCAGCCCACAGGCGCTTGCAGTGTTTCCCGTTGCCCGGCGCATCGCGCCTGCGTGGGCGCACCTCCGAACGAGCTACCGTAGCCCGAGAGCGACTTATGCGCGGTCGGCCAGTCTGCCGATTGGAACGTACGCGCCTGCGGTACCGGCGGATGCCCAGAGAAGACAGCGTCTTGTAATGTTGTATGGGCCGTCGCATCTGCATTTGTGCAACCGCCGTCGGCTGCGGCGCGTCGGTCCCCCCGCCCTTTGCCACCCCGCCAAGGCAAGAGTACGGGTATCTTTCGCGCTCGATATGTTCGAAGTCGCTGAGTCCGCTAAGGGCGATGGTGATGATGATGGTGGTGGTGGTGATGACGATGACGGTGGCGATGACGGTGATGACGATGGCGACGACGATGATTATGTTAATGGTGATGGTGATTGTGATGGTGTTGATGGTGATGATGACGACGATGATGATGATGATGGTGGTGGCCATGATGACGACGCTGAAGGTGATGATGATGACGATGTTGATGATGATGGTGGTGACGATGATGGCGACTATGACGATACTGCTGATGATGAGGCTTATTTGATGATTACCATGATGCTGGAGCTGGGGCTGATGGTGAATGTGACGTCGGTGTTGATGACGCCGACGGCGTTATGACGATGATGAAGATAATGATACTGGTGACGGTCTTGATAGTGGTGATTGTATTCATGATGATGATGATGATGGTGCATGGTGTTGTTACTGATGATTCTGATGTTGTTGCTGGTGGCGATGGTCGTGATGGTGCTTGTGATGATGGAGACGAAGTCCAAGGCAGTGATGAGGTGCTGGTGGTTGTGATGATGCTCATGGTGTTGAGGCGTTGTCGGTGAGTCTGCCATGGTGACGATGTTCATGATGATGGCGATGCTGCTGATGATGATAATGGCGACGATGGTGATGATGATGATGATCATCATCATGCCGATGATGGTGGTAGTATTGATAATGATGATGATGCTGCTGATGCGGATGACGCGGGTGATACGGGCGATGACGATGAAGCTAATGAGTACGACGATGGTGGTGATGCTTAGAATGATGGCAATGCTGGTGGTGATCATGATGGTGTTGGTGATGGTGATGGCAATGCTTATGAAGTTGATGATATATAGAATTATGATGATGGTGATGGTGATGACGATGCTGTTCATGATGACGATGGTGAGGATGTCTTGATGGTGGTTGTGCCGATGATGGTGAGGAGGAGGAGGAGGAGAATCAGGAAGATGATGGTGGTGATTCGGATGACGATGAAGATGATGCGATGGATGGGGAAGATGAGGAGGAGGAGGACGAGGAGGAGGTGGGGGAGGAAGACAAGCTAGGTGCGCTCGCGTGATATTTGACGTCCCACCCTTCCCTCCCATCCTCCACCATGGCGTAGATCTCCTTTCTATTCGCACAATCGAAAGTGGCTACATGTCGTAACATCACATGGCATAGCATGGTGTTGAATCTCAACGCGTAAACTGACATAGCATGACGTGGCGTCGCCTCAAAGTGGGAGGGGGGCTTCTGCGGCCCAGAAAATCAACGAATCGAACGACTGTGTAATCACGTCCGAGGGTTTTTTTGGGGGGCCATATTCTAGAAATTAGAGCCTTTTTGGAAGGACCCAAAACCATGCCGTGACATGGCGCTCGGAATAAAGACGCCAACGCTGCAATGGGAACACGATTCTGAACTAGCGGAAGCGCGGAAATGCTGCCAGCATCTCAACGGAAGCACGGTTCAGAATGAGCGGTAGCCCGAAATGAGGCCAGCGCATCAGTGAGAGCAGCATTTTTGGGGGGGGAAACATGCGCGGAAACGCGGAAATGAAGACGCGTAGCCTGACATAGCATGGCGTGGCGACGTCCCGAAGTGCAGGGGGGCTTCTGCGGCCCAGAAAATCAACGAATCGGCACCGAGTGTGTAATCACGTCCAGTGATATTTTCGGGGGGACATTTTCTAGAAGTTGGGGCCTATTTGGAAGGACCGAAAACCATACCGTGGCATGGCGCTGGAAATAATGACGTCAGCGCTGCAGTAGGAGCACGATTCTGAACGAGCGGAAGCGCGGAAATGAGGCCAGCGCTGCAGCGGGAGCACGATTCGGAATGAACGGTAACCCAAAATTGAGGCCAGCGCTTCAGCGAGAGCAGCGTTTTGAAACAAAAACCAAGCAAACACCAACTCCCGGGACTCTTGTGCGTAAAAGATCAGTACGCGGAGGGGGGCCGGACAATTCCCGGACGCCACCCAGGGAGAGAGGAGAGTAGTATTCATATTGTGTAATTGTAGATGAGGAGGATGATGGTCACGAGTAGCAGGGGGAGTCGGAGGGACGCCGTCACATGTGACACCTCTCGCTGCATTTCTTGAGGAGTCCTCATGGACCTCGTGTGGGCAGTCGTGGGGCCTCTTTTGGGCCTCTAGGGGGTAGTTTTGTAGCCTCTTCGGGGTCTGTATTGGGCCTCCTGGGGGCCCCTTGGGGCGGAAGGCTCGAATTGACAGCTTGCGTTTCTTGGACCCGTTTTGGGGCCTTCTTGGGCCGTCTTTGGCGCCTTTGGGGTCCTCTTGGGCCGCCTTGGGGCCCTCTTGGGGGCTCTTTGGCCGTCTTGGAGCGTCGGGAGCTCGAAAAGGCGAAAAGCCCAACAGCATTGTCACACTTCGGGGCAATCAATGAGTTTTGCCCCTCGGGGCCATCTTGGGTGCCTCTTTTGGGCCTCCTGGGGCTTGCTTGGGGCTCCTTGACGCAGAAGGCTTGAATTGTCGGCGTGTGTTCCCTCTCTTGGACCCATGTTGCGGTTGTCTTGGGGCATTCGTGGGCCGTCTTGGGCGCTTCTTGGGCAGTCTTGGGGCCTTTGTGGGCCTTCGTGGAATTCTCTTGGGGGCATCTGCAGCCGTCTCAGGTCAGTTTTGGGGGCTTCTTGGGCCGTCTTGGAGGGTCAGAAGCTCAAAAACTGCGAGAACCTAAACAACTTTGAACCACCTTTGGGAAACTCCATGGTGTTTGTCTCTCGGCGCCCTTGTATGGGCCTCTTCGGGGCGTCTTTTGGGTGACCTGGGGCCTCTTCGGGCGGAAGGCTCGAATTTTCACGACTTTGTCAGTTGGGCCAGTCTTGGGCTCTCAGGCCTTCTTTGGCGCCGTCTTGGGGCCCTCTTCGGCAGTTTTCGCGGCGACTCTTGTGCCATTTTAGAGCCCTCTTGTGCCGTCTTGGGGCTCTTTTGGGGGCCTCTCGGAGGCCTCTTGGGCCGACTTGGGTGCCTCTTGTTCCGTCTTGGGACGTCGGAAGCTCGAACAGGCGAGAACCCCGAAACCTTTGCAAAACCTAAGGATCAACAATTTTGCTTGCCTCTCGACGCCCTCTTGGGAAGGCTCTTGGGGCTCGCTTGGGACGCCTCAAAGGCCTCGTGGGCCGTCTTGAAGCCACATTGAACCGTCTTGAGGCCAAAGTGACCCGTCTTGGAGCCATATTGGGCCGTCTTGGGGGCATCTGGGCCTGGGGAGCGCGAATCTGTCCTCCTCCCATCCTCGTCCTCCTCCGGATTCCCTCATCTTTATTCGCCCTCGTCTGTGATCTTTTTTCCTCCTTCCTTCTTCTGCCCTCTCCTCTCTCATTCTCCCCTCGCCCCCGCCGCCTCAATTGGCATGAGCTTCAGCTTATCCACGATCAGCGCTACGTATCCTTGTGTATCATGCGTATGTCTCTAATCTGCGGCATCCGCGTTCGCATCGGCGTCGGTTGTTGCCTTGGTTTGTGTCTTGCCTGGTCCCCGCAGTTCGCACTTTCGTCGTGTTTGCCGTCGCTCCCACGTGTGTCTCCCGTCTCGCCCCCTCACTCCCGATCCTTCGAGTCAGGGATCGGCTACATATTCGATTTTCCCTCGAATTGATTGTCTCGTCGAACTTGCCAGAAATACGCAGAATGTTCGTCGATCTACGGAACATTCTACATCATTTTCGTAGATTCGACGAGCAAAGCAAGCTTGGGGTAAATCAATTCTGTAGTCCATCCCCTACTCGAATCCTGGGCGACTCTGGCTCAGGTGGCGCTCCATCCTCCTTGCCCCTTTGCCCTCCCGGCTGGAGACCCTGCAGGGCTGCCGCCATGAGCCGGCCACCGCCAGACGTCCGGGTGAGCGTTGAGGGAGTGACCGGCATCCCGTGGATCGAGTTGCCGTTGCTGCCCCCGCGCCACAGGAGGCTCGACACCTTGTTCTTCCGGAGGCTGTTCCACCGCGCGGGGCAGTGCGGTCTCGCGAAGGATATAGGGGCAATTTTCGGGGGGGATAGGCCCAGGGGGGGACGTATCGACCCCCAATCGCCCATGCATCGCCGATAGGGGCGCGATAGACCATTCCCGCCGAGGAACGTCGGATTCGGTATCGGGGGCCTGTCGCTGGTCCATCGGCAATGTCTCGCCAGTCCCAGATCGATGCCCTCCCCCAAGCCAGTCCCCCCAACCGTTGCCCCTCCAGGATGGAGCGGTACACGCCGACACCTTCAGGCGGCTCATGCAGAGGATCTCGGACTCCTTCGGCTCCAAGGGCGACATCCTGGGGGACGTCAAGTGAGCACCTCACCGACCCTGGCCAGGCCAGGTCTGGGCCTATGATCGCTGTACTTGCTTCCCTGGCCAGGCTATCGGGGAGCCTTCACCGATTCTGGGCCCAGGATGGGCCTGGCCAGGATGGGTGAGGTGGTCAGTTTTACGTCCCCCGACGATCGCCTGGACAAACGATTCCCATGTCGTGTGGGTCACCTGGAAAGACGTGCGGCGCTTCGTGATGCCTGGTGACGGCGGCGCGGTGCCGCTAGTGAAGATGAACTACGTGGAGCGCTTGTTCTTGATCTTGGAGAGCGACGGTTGCTGCTTGGTGTCCCTATTTTTTCGTTGGGTTATCTTCGCAGCGATCGTGATAAGTATAGGAAGCGTGTTCGGCGAGCCGAGTCCGCTGGACTCCGCGTGCATGGTGCTGTTCTCGGTGGAGTATGGGCTGAAACTCCTGTGTGCGCCCTTCATCCGCATTGGGCTTTTTAGCTCTGATGAGTTATTGAAGACAGTATTGCCAGAGTCCACGGAGAAAGCTCTGATCCCGACCTTCGTCAGTACGAGGGCGTCACGGCTGTGGCAGTTCGTCAGCAAGTCTATGAACATTATTGATTTTCTTGCTATCCTTCCATTCTTAATGTCGGGCGTGATGGATAACGGGTCGTCGAAATTTGGATTTCTTCGAGCATTCCGTGTTTTGCGCCTCTTCCGGGTATTGAGCCTCGGCAAGTTCAATTCGACCGTAGCCGTCTTGGGCGACGTAATCGGGAGGAGCTGGTGGCTGCTGGAACAAGAGTACACGCCAACAGTGCTTACTTACCACATCCTCCCCCGCAGAGGAGAAGTACAGTCCATTAGTGCCTCATCCCCCCCAGGGAGGGTGGAGGATGGATGGGATTGGCGTGAGTTGGCGTAATGATGCTCTCATCATTCCCAGTCCCCTTTGTCCAGCCCTCCACCAATCCAATACCCTCCCTGGTTCTCCGCCCTCTCGCCTCCTCCCTTCAGCTTCCCCCATCTCCCCTGACTCGGTGGTGTCTCTTGCTCGCCTGTTTCTTCTCCTCCTCCTCGTTGTCGTTTGCTGGAGCCCCCTAGAACCGAACCCAGTAGAACTAGACTCCCCCTAGACCGCAGTATAACCCCCTCGAGCCTCCTAGAACCTCCTGCAGCTCCCCTCCGCACCCCCCTCCCCATCCCTTCTTCCCCCCTCCCCTCCCCGTCTCCTCACTCGTGGCGAACACCAGGAGCATGATGGAAGGAGAGGAGAGAGTATCTGACCTCCTGTCCCGAGGAGCTACTCAGCCGCCCATGTCCTGATATTCTGGGTGGTCATGGCCTCCATCACGATCGGGCCCCTCCTGTACCAGCTGGAGGCCAACGCGAACCCCGAGGTGGACGAGGAGAAGGAGGAGGATGGAGGGAGGACCAGAGGACGCCCAGAGCATATCGGCGGTGATTTCGAGCCTGTCTTGGAGCAGGAAGTGCCGCAAGGAACGCAGTAGGACAAGAAAGGTGAAGGCAGTGCCCCACCAGCAACACTTGCTCAGGTACACGTCATGTCACTGTGTGGGTCGTGCCTCACGGCAGGCATCGAATTCCTCGACATTTTGTCCACTGCACGTGCCCGAGATTCCCAGGATGCCCCCCGCCTTCAGCTCCTCCACAGCCTCGCGGCTGCTTTGTGAGTGGGCCGGCCGGCTCGCGGTGCCTCTTGTAGCTAATTAGGCTTGCCCGTTGGCCCGGACACCCTGCTCGCCGCCTGCCTCTTCGCTCGCGGCCACGACCGAAAAAAGTATCCCCACCAGCCCATCCAGAAACGATGCCCATGGGAATTGAGGTGATCAGGGAAGTGGGGGAGCATGCAGAAGAACAAAGGGCAGGGGAAGCCGTCCGAGGTGGGGGAGGGAGAATAGGGAGGAGGGAGGAGGAGGAGCAGGCGGATAAGGAAGATGAGCGGGAGGAGGAGGAGAAATCAGGATTAACGTAAGAGCCTCATCGGATGTTTCTTGGGAGTCGTTTGGAGTCTTCTTGGAACGTCTGGGGGGGGCATCTTGGGTGCCTCGGGGATCCTCTTGAAGCCTCTTGGTGGCATCTTGAGAGCCTTTTGCGGGCATGTTGGGCGCCTCTTGGGGCCGTTTGGGCGTTTCTTGGGGCCCTCTTGTGGCGCTCTTAGGTGCGTTGGGAACCCTCGTCGGGCCATCCTGGAGGAGATCGATCAAAGAAGAGAGGGGTCACTAGTTTGCGCCGCCTTTCAAGAGTGCCTGACATCGCCTCTTGGGGCGCTCTGGGGGCAGTCTTGAGGCTCTCTTGGGCCTATATTGGGGCCCTCTTGGGGCCATCTTGAGGCCTCGGAGGGCCATCGAACGCAACAAGGCGGGAACGCAAACATCATTGGTGTGCTTTAGGTTGTTGAAGGAGTTTGGCATCTTGGCGGCCTCCTGGGGGCGCTCCGTGGCCACTCGGGGCCGTCTTGGAGCGGTCTTGGGGTTTCTTGGAGCATTTGGGGAGCAATCTTGAGGCATATTGGGATATCTTACGCCATCTTGGAGCTCATCTTGGGCTCTCCGAGGCGCTCTTCGAGCCATCTTGGGCCATCTTGGACGTTCCAACCTCTCGGAGTACCCCCCGTCCAGGTCCAGGGGAGATGGTAGGGTAAGCTATGTGCGCTCGCGTCATACCTGACGTCCTACCCCTCCCTCCCATCCCTTTCTATCCGCACAATCGGATGTTGCAACATGGCATACCATTGCATGGCATAGCATGGTGTTGAAGATCAACGCGTAACATGACATAGCATGGCGTGGTGCCGCCCATAAAGTGGGGGGAGGGCTTCTGCGGCACAAAGAATCAGCGAACCGACACTCAATGTGTAATCACTTCCGATGTCTTTTTGTCGGAAGGCCATGTTCTAGATGTTGGAGCCTACTTGGAAGGACCAAAAGCCATGCCGTGGCATGGAATTGGATATAATGATGCCAGCGCTGCATTGGGAGCACGATTCGGAACGAGCGGTAGCCCGAAACTGAGGCCAGCGCTTTAGCGAGAGCAGCATTTTACAAACAAGCCCAAGCGCGGCAACGCGGAAATGAGGATGTGTAGCTTGACATAACATGGCGTGGCGACGCCCCAAAGTAGGTTGAGGCTTCTGCGCGGCCATAGAAATCAACGAATCGACACCGAATGTGTAATCACGTCCGATGGTTGTTTTGGGGCACCGTTTTCTAGAAGTCGGGGCCTATTTGGAAGGACAGAAAACCATGCCGTGGCATGGCGCTGGAAATACTGACGCCATCGCTGCAGCGGGAGCACGACTCGGAACGAGCGGAAGAGCGGAAATGAGGCCACCGCTGCAACGAGAGCAGCATTTTGAAACGAAAACCCAAGCGAAAACCCAATTCCCAGGCATCTTGTGTGTAGAAAACCAGTACGAGGAGGGGGGCCGGACATTTCCCGGACGCCACCAGGGGAGAGAGGAGAGAGGAGACAGCCCCTGGACAGCAAGCCGTCTAGCTCACTCCCACCCGCCCTCCCAACACATAAGTAACACCCGAACCTCAGCATGTTCAGCGGTCGTCTTTGGACGGGCAGCTACTGGGAATCCAAGCCGACCAGATGTGCGCGACGCTGGGGCGAGGTGCGCCACGCGTGCCAGGCGCGCCACGCGCGCCAGGCACCCCCGGGGCCCGAGCGTGCCAGGCACGCATGGTGCGCCAGATGCGCCACATGCTCCGCGTGCGCCAGGTGTGCCGCTTGCTCCAGCAAGGTGCGCCACGATCGGGGCACGCGCAGAGTGTGTCAGGTGCGCCTGCGCACAAGACAGCACACATCGGGAAACATGTCGGCCCCCACCATCCTTGTCGAACAGCAATGCCCGTCATTGTGTCTGGTGGGCCTGCGCACAGCAGGCCATACGCCACCATCCTTGCCGTCTTTGTGAAACACCCCTTGACAGTGCTTCAAATGTGGAGGCGGAGAGTGTTTTGTATGTGTTCTTTGACAGGGATGGGGGTGATGTGCCCGCATGTTTCCTGGCCGGCCGCCAGTCGCCGGGGAAGGGGGGTGCCTCTCCCCGAAGGGGAAGAGGGGGTGGAAGATAACACATCCTAGACCACTTACGCCCTAAAGGGCTGGTGGGATTCTTGACGTTTCGCGCTGCTGCGTTTCCTGGACTCTATCTACGGGGACCAGATCCCCGTGGGACGGACAGAGAGCTGCCGCAGCCAATGCCATCACGCAGCTGGTTGGGAGGAGTGAGAAGTTCCAGGAGGCCTGGCGCTCCTTCTCCGACGCGCTCAATAGCCAAAGAGGACAAGACCCACGACGGCAGCCGTTGGACACGCCGCACCGCTTCTTATCCCTGAGGAAGGACGATCTCGCAGGGGGAACGCTGGAGTTCCTCGCCGGCGAACGCAACGCCGGGAGCAGCAACGACACGGGAAACCACTCCCCCGCCGCCGTCTGGTGCAAGCGCCCACCAGCCTCGGACGGCCGGACCCCTGGCGATGGCCTCCGCCAGCAGCCCCCGGGAGCCACAAAGGCGAGCAAGGAGATAAAGGATGAACCATCCCCAGACAGAGACGCCCACGGTAATGGCGACAACCCATTCGAGGTAGATTGGGATGAGGACAATCCACCAGACAGGACCGTCTCCATGGTCGACAGTCCCCCGCAGCAGGCCGAGGAAACCGAAGCCCACGGCCCCAGCGACACAGATGGTTCCCACAGGCGGACATTGCTGTGGACAGACCCCCCTGCGAAGGAAGAAGCGGCCACCTGGACGCCGTACGCAACGGCCCGCTCCCGGGCGGACATGGAGAAAGTCCGTGACAACAGGAACCTGAGAGGGACAGGGAGCAAGCCAGACTGCCGTCAGGAGTCTATCCCTGAGCTCGCAGCGTCTGGCGCGAGACCCGCCCGGCGCCCAGCCCCGGGCAGGACAGCAGCCCTGATAAACGGCCCCGCCCACAGGCAGATCCACTCCCAACTCCGCATCAAGACGACCCCCTGGGAGGTCTTCCCATGTACATGAGGTCCATCGACGAGGCCGACATCCAGAGAGATGAGCCAGCCCAAGAGAATGTCATCAGACTGCAGAAGACGCTCGGAGGCGCATTCAACGGGGCGTGGACAGCTTGGGTCCGCAGGGCAGTCAGCCTGCAAGGGCTGCCTTGGGTCCGCATCCATTCGGACCCCAAGAGGAACACACTGCAGCTTTGCGAAGAATTTCTGCGGGCGTGGGAAGCAGCGGGCTACGACGCCTACAAGATGGTAAGGGACCACCAGCTCCGAGTGGAATGGCAGAAGGTCACTGATAAGTATCGTAGCCTACTACAGCGCAGCGCAAGGACCAGCACACCCAAGGGGCAAGATAGCGAGGGCCACCCATACCTTTGGGCCGCCAGCAGCAGGACAGTACCCACCCCTCCGGCCCCGCCCGACAGGACAAGCCATTGCGAGCAGGCCCCGTCCTCCAGCACACACATCGGGGCTGAGCAGCGAGACCCGTGGAGCAAGCCCAGAGCTGACACAGCTGCCCCGCCAGCGTACACCGACTACAGGGAGACCACCTGGTCGGGAGCATCCAGCTCTGGAGCCCCATGGCGCCCAAGGCCGCGCTGGGAAAGGTGGGACCGCCAGGAGAGTTCATGGAGAGGCGCTGAGTGGGGGAGAAGGGAAAAGAGGACCGCCCCGAAAAGTGACGAGCAATACGCCGACAAGCGACAGCGAGGAAGGGAACTCGCACGCTGGTAGCCCGGCAACTGGCCTGACAGGGGCCCCCTGCCCAGGGCAGGGCCGACACGGCCCAGAGTCCCCAAGGCGCCGGCCTTGGGCTCTCTTGGACAACGTGTGACCCCCTTCATGGAAGGCTAGCCGCGCCCGTATTCCGTGGGGACTCCCCAGAGGCGTGGCTTATCCTCCCCCTGGTGCGTGACCACTTCGGACTATCGTTCTGCGGCTCTCGGTCGCTCTCCCCCGCTTCTTGTATCGCTTTCAAGTCCTGCAGCTATCGGCTGCATCTCCCCATTCCTTGTCGCCGCCTCCTTTCCGTTGTCCAGCAGCTATCGGCTGCTTCCCCCCTTCCTCGTCGCCCCTGCTTCTACACTCATGTCCAGCGGCTATCAGCTGCTAACCCCCTTTCCTCGTCGCCACACCACAGAGCCCGAGAGGAGCGGTTATTGCACGGCCCACCGCGCACCGGCTAGACCAGTCGCGGCTGGCCCCATGGCCGTTGGGTCCCCACTAAGCGACCACACCTGTCGGCACAGCCAGTGGCAGGGCGTGTTTCACCGCAGCGGCGGGTTCGGGGTCTGTCTGGCGTCACCTCCTGGGGTCGAGGTACACCCCCCGCCACCGCGATAGACACCCACGCACCTCGTGGGCCTATAGCCCG